ACACAAAGGCAAAGCACCTCACGCAATATACGACCAAAATCATGACAAGTGACTGCAGGCTACCAACTAGAAAACTAAATCCATATCGTATTTGGCCGCTTTACTTCTATTGGCTTAGTTTCTATGGACAACTCAGTTGTTGCTACTATTAACCATGGACGTCGTCATCTATTGTGTGATGTTACGTCGACTTCACACTTCTGTAGTTATCTTTATAAAAGACGTGAGGAATCATTCAAGTGAAGCATTTTTTCAACTGCTTAATGATTTATATGAAAATAACAGTAATTAAGTACCTATTTATTAATTCTTGCTTTAGCGTTTGCAATTTTTTCCACAAATTTTTAAAATTTCATAGTTTGTAAAAAATCATTTTCTATGTACATTAGCGAGAGCGCTGCAAGTTTTTGCTGGCGGAGTTGGGAGCGCAAGTACTTTTTTTACTCTTTAAAGAGCTTAAAAAGACATTTCGTTGCTGCAGTTGGTAACACTCATTGTCAAAAAAAATCTTAATATTATCTCCACATTCGGGAACATGCATGACATGTTAAAACTTTTTATTAACTGCAACAAACCCTTTGGGGTTCTGGCAGAAACAGAATGCTCGGCCTCAGTGTCAGATTTTAAAAACTGCGCCTATGCCGGCCATACACACTACGGTCTACCGGAGAGGTAATCTGTGCAGGTATGCCTGCGCAGGTCAACCGAACAATGGTAGCGTGTATGGGGACGTTCCGGTGTATCGGAGCGGTCTTCAGTTCTCTTTGCGATGACATCGAATGTGGACGATGACACGCTGGCGTTGCTAGGTCTTGCTTTAATTTTGAAGAAAAATGATACGAAAAACAAGCGAAAACATATAGTCATGTTAATTTATTAAATAAATTGAAATTTGAACCAGAAGATTTTAAAAACTATCTTCGAATGGACGAGAAAACATACCTTAAATTACTTGAAATGGTTACTCCTATAGTAAAAGAAGAAGTCACAGTTATGAGAAATAGTATTTCTGCGCACGAAAGATTATCAGTTACATTGAAATTTCTCGCAACTGGCAGAAGTTATGAGGACCTAAAATTTTCAACAATTATTTCGCCTCAGGCACTTGGAAAAAATATTCGTGAAACATTTCTATAAAGCTTCGGCTTCGGCTTTGTATAAAGTACTTAGAAGAGATTATTTGAAGGAAATTCCGATTACTATCTTAACAACCTGTGCAGGCGACCGGAGTACACGCACACACGCACAGGTACACCATACGGTGTCACTCGAAAGAATCGATTTTCGATCTTGCGCCGGTCGCCTGCGCAGGTTCAAAAACCTGCACAGGTCTATTCCCACACACATTCCGGTCTACCTGCGCAGGCATACCTGCACAGGTGGACCTCTCCGGTAGACCGTAGTGTGTATGGCCGGCATTACAAAGCCTATATTTATTATTTATGGACGCATTCTTCTGCAAATGTTTCTCCTAAATTAGAGGCATATAGTTGTTTTAAGTCCTTTGCGTTGCTTCTAATAAATTCACTGTCGTCTATTTCATGAAGTTTCCGTAAGAAACCAAACGCCGTGTTAACTGTATTATAAATAGTTTGCCGGTTTTTAAGCGCACTGTAAGACAATCAATACCTGCCTAAATAATAATTATCAACGATGAAAGATCGCCTCCCTTTTAACTCAATGTGCCCCGTTTTAAATTAGTATTTCCTTTACTTAGAAGAAATAAATTTTCTTCTTCTTCTTTAACACCTTTTTTGTGTCTCTTAACTCTTTTTCGTCACGCAACGTATCAAGATAAACATGTAATATCTCATAAAGAGTAACAACGTAAGATAAATCAACAGAACTTGCTTGTAGCTGTGTTCTATTTGAAACTTTACGAGCACAGAGTTCCAAAGGCACAACATTATTGCAATTTCTAGATTTTTTTTTTTTTCTAAAACTGCTTTTGCTTCTATTTTGGTCTCTTTACTTTAAATTTTTCGAGACAGATATTTGAGTGGCGCCGATTCTTCATCTAATTTAGATACTAAAATTTGCCATCTGCTTGTAGTTCACCGTTTATTTAGTGTTTTGTCTCGATCTAGTTGAAATATGCAGGTGATGATGCTAGCGAAGACACGATTTCAGTGCGCCCCCGCCCCATTAGATCGTCGCGCCCTAGTCTGCAGCCTTATTAGCCTAAGGTTTAATCAGGCCCTGCTTACTACTAAAATCTAATCAATTGTAAATATTTTTTTTTTGTCTAATTTCCATTCCATTTCATAAATAGTTCTTCGAACGGAGACAAATACAACATACCAACCATAATAAGTATATAAGTATTCAAACAAACTCGACTCGAAATTATAATCAGATGCCTATTTATTACTATTTTAAGATAACTTATATATACCTGAGTGACCTAAAAAAAAAAATTTTGCCTTTAAATGGGCTAAAATTTTCGTATTTCATAGAGAAGTAAGGAAGGGGATGACAGGTCTGGGCGTTACTGCATACGATTACAAACCGTTTTTTACCCTTAAAACTCCCCCCCTACCCCTTCCGGACCTCAGATCGACCGTAATTTATTTTTCCTTTCATTTTGATCATATTCCCCTGCTTTTCTAATGGGTTTCATCCTACTGTAATTTTTTTCACTTTTTATTTATTTTAAAGGCTATCTGCACTGGTCTAAATGGTTTAATGTAGTTTCTATTTAATAATAAAAAAAAACGCAGAGCAGAGGTTCATTTGTATCTAATATCTATTAATATTTTTCAAATTTCTCAAAATTTTTCAAATTAATATTCATGGTATACCATGGTATTCACCATTTGAATATTAATTTGAACTTAAGATAATTTTTTAAGTTCAATTTATTTTATTACTATCAGTTTTATAAAAGCTGAAAGTTTAAAGAAAAAACTTTTTAACCGGATGAAAGTTATGTATTATTATAAATTTACAATTATTTAACATCATTTTAAATTTAACCGACGTTTCGCGTGCTTTACTGCGTGCGTGGTCACGGTGACTGAAGACAAAAGGTGTCGGATGTCAAAAAGTATCACAGCTGTAGAAATAGTTGCATTATCTGTATTTATTTCCCCGGAGTTGGTATCGACTAAGAGATGGAGGGTTTTGGCAGAAATGGCTCACGGTGTCCTCTATTTTCGCGGATTGTTTATCTTGAGATTTCAATTTGGATATTATTGGATCCCAGGTCTTTGACAATTTTAGGCCGTCTTCAATTCGCAATTACTTTCGGTTGGTCAAAGCGTATGTAGTGATTAGGCCTATCTAGTATGTGTTCACAGATTGCTGATTTTGTGTGTCTATGTCTTATGTCCGCAATGTGTTCTTTGAGTCTGCTGGACATATTGCGTTTAGTTTGCCCTATGTAAGACAGGCCACAGTCGCAATCCAGTTTGTATATACCTGCATCTTGCAACGGGGTGTTACTTTTGATTGGTCTTAGGAATTGCTGAATCTTCTTGTGCGGCTTGAAAATTGTATGAATAGAAGCTCGTTTTAGGATCCGGCTAATTATATCTGTAACTCCCTTTACATATGGCAGGTAGGCTGGCTGGCGGGGAACTGTTTGTGTCTTGTTTTTTGTTTTTTTGATGCAGCTGGGGGATGCGCAGCTTGTTTGGGTGTAGCACCTGTTTGACATGCTGTAGTTCCTCCTCGAAGTGGGCATCATCACAAAGACGTTGGGCTCTCTCTGATAGAAACATTTACCGACAGAAAGCAGTTGTGAAGGGTGGTGGTGGTCACCATTGAGGTACCAATCTGTGTGGGTTGCCTTTCTGTGTATTGTGTGACCTAGTGTGCCATGTGCTTTGCGTATAATTAAAATGTCTAAAAAGGGCAGACAGTTGTTGCTACATTATTACATAACTTTAATCCGGTTAAAAAGTTTTTTCTTTAAATGTGTAAAGGTTATGTCTATAAAAGACAATACTATGTGCAAGCAGAAAGTTATGTAGGATCTGATATAATGCGTTAATATTATGTTTGAGTACTAGAAATACAGGCTGAATACTGATTTATGTAATAAGACCATTCCAATTAAGTTAGTAATACACAAAAATCCTTTACATATTTTTTTCTTACATTAAAAACCAGAATCCTTATAATTCTTAAAAGTTATGTAATAATAATTAGATCGTTATCATATCAATATTAGTTATAGGCCAGAGAAATGCTAAGCAATGGTTCAATACTCCCTTCCAATATAATATAGGTATATTTACAATCAAGTATACAGTATTTACAATTTTCTTAACCTACAAAGTAATAGAAATAATTAAAATGAAAATCAAAACAAATTTAAAAGTTTGGTCCCTGTGGCAGTGTACCTTTAACGCTGGCAGCATTTCCTCGCTGTATTGCGATACTTATTCGTTGAGCCAGGATTTTTATTTTTATTTATTAGTTTGTACGCCATAATTGGCGTTTAACAATTTAAAATTGACTAGTACTTAACTTCTAAATACAATAAATATGGTCTAACCGTATTGAACGTTATTTCTACAACTTCTATTTACGGTACGAGATACTAATCAAAATTGTCATTTTATACTGAATGAATCAGTGGCGCTACAACCTTTTTAGGTCTGGGCTTCAGATTTCTGTATCGATCTAATAGGCAAGTAGGTGATCAGCCTTCTGTGCCTGACACACTCCATCGACTTATTTAGATCTAAGGCAAGCCGGTTTCCTCACGATGTTTTCCTTCACTGTTCGAGCGAATGTTAAATGCGCACATAGAAAGAAAGCCCATTGGTGCCCGGCCGGGGATCGAGAACCTACGACCTCAGGGATGAGAGTCGCACGATGAAGCCACTTGGCCAACACTGCTCACTGTCATTCTATACTAATATTATAAATATAGTAAGGAGATAGATAGAATTTGAATAAACTCAAAACTTCTAGACTGAATTCACAATTTTAAATGCACATTATCCCAACGTTACAAAGCCTATATTTATTCTCAAAATATTTAATAAAATATGTCCAGCCTTGCCAAGTCAGGCATGGTGGGTTTTACTGAGTACTAGCAGCCTGCCCTGGCTTTGATGTCTGACTATTATTCCTAGGTCTAATCTCAAACCAATATTAGCAGATACAACCCACAACGATGAGAAGAATGAAATAAAGAAGGTCGACAAATCCACACAGACAGAATCGACATCGCAATCAATCCAAAGTAACCCGCCCATCCAAAACCAGCCTCAGGAAAATGTGTTAAAGAGACGACGCGCCTTAGAAGACCGCCGACAAAGGTGCGGTGAACCATGTTACTTTATCTTGAACAATAACGACCTAAAAGATCTTGAACAAGCTCTAAAGTGCCGTCTAATAACACGAGTTGAGTATCAATGCCTTAAATTGCGAAGAGAGCTCGTCGAAACTGAAGGAAGGTTGTACAACATTAAGGAAATATTGAAAATATTGGCAAATGAAGAAAAGGATAATGAACCCTCACCATCCACTGCTAAAACACGAAACATTTAAGAATAATTCCTCATTAAATTTTATTTTGTCACCTTTTTCATAGATGTTGTATAAGGTATAATATATTATAAATATGAATCCCATGGATGGAGAGAGGAAAATTATAATAGAATTTTGTCACTTATTGGAGAAATCGAAAGTGCTTTTTAATGGATTAAGGTGAGATACTTACTTAATTTTAATTTGCAACACGCTTACTTACGCCATGGTTTTGATAAAGTTTTAATTTATTGATCTTAATTTTTGTGGATCTAGTTAAATTTATTCTCTATACTTCATAACTCACTCATCTCTATTTCTTAAACTGTTTTAAAGATGAAAAAAAAGTAGTTAATTATTAACAATTCGTCTATAAACAGATAGAAGTAATTATACAAATACAGTTCGACTTAAAAATTTATGACTTGTAGGGAACTACCACAATATGGCCACAAGCAATGGCAGTCATACTTCGGCCGGACTTTTGATGTTTACACCAAATTGTGGAAATTTCAACAACAACACAGGGACGTACTAGATAGCAAATATGGTTTAAAGAGATGGCAAATAGGAGAGATCGCATCGAAAATTGGGCAGTTGTACTATCACTTTTAGTAAGTATTAGCTTTGTATCCTTTTCTTCCATTAGCTTTCAAAAGCCTAGTGGTATCAAAGTTTATACCAAGTTTATACTTCGTAACTAATCAAACTATGGTAAACCGAACCGTAAGTTCAGGGAAACTAGGCTACTCTTAAAAATAAATCAGTGGCGCTACTACCTCTTTAGGTCTTGGCCCCAGATTTCTGAATCTGTTTCATGATCATTTTTAAATCTAATAGGCAAATCGGTGGTCAGCCTCCAGTGCCTGACACACGCCGTCGACTTTTTTAATCTAAGACATGTCGGTTTCCTCACGATGTTTTCCTTCACCGTTCGAGAAAATGTTAAATGCGCACATAGAAAGAAACCCGGGAATCGAACCTACGACCTCAGGTATGAGAGTCGCGAGTTGACGCCACAAGGCCAACACTGCTCAGGCTACTCTGACCACTAATATATTTGCAAATATCTGCACATATCTATGACGTGGGAATAGTCTAGTCGACAAGTTGAAAATGGTACAAAATAGAGATACTGCTCTTAAAATTATGTGCGATAGCTCATTGGATCCGGAATGACGTCTAGAAAAATGTGCCAAAAGCGTGTATTAGCACATAAAAAATTGCAAAAGTTAGAAACAATTAAAGATGAAAACAAAATGGCATTTCGGTTTTTGCCAATATTTAATAAACTATTAATATTTAAGAAATTTCAATCAATTTTTTTTTCACTTACAATTAAGACGAGAAAATTTCGTTAGTTAACAATTGTTTAACTTGTTGAAAAATTAACTTTAAGTAAAATTTTCCAACGGGAATAAATTAATTATAGTGTTCAGAACACACCATAATTTTTTCAAATTTAAATAAAATATTCAATACCTTAAATAAATTAATTAATGTGCCGTACTCGCTTTTGACGCCACGCGCGCCTCCTAAAAATGTCACGCGCAAACCTATTTTCAGCGTTAAATTAAAATTATAAATAATGGAGATTCCGGGAGTCAGGAGTTTTTTATTAAAAATTTCCTCCTCTTTCAGAATCTTTTTTTGATATGTCTTAAATATTAATTGTTTATTAAATATTGGCAAAAAACTAAATGCCATTTTTTTTCATCTTTAATTGTTTATAACTTTTGCAATTTTTGAAGTTATACTTCTTTAGGCGCGTTATGAAAAATTTATGAGAGTGAAATTTTACAATGCGCGCGCACCCGTGACACAAAATTAGGAGTGTGATTATAGCGTGCGCGAGCGAGATAGGAATAAGACAATCTACAAGTAAAAAGAAATAGAATATGCGTGAAGTTCGTATGCCAACAATTTTGAATGACCATAATGACATTTGTCATTTACCTTTTAAACAAATAAAGGAGTTTTAATTATTTTTTCAAAGAAATTTAGCGACGCTTTTTGAATTATAATCAGAAGTGATTTAAATTGAATATTTAAACCAATACTAATAAATATTTGTGAAAAAAAACTGTGCTCATCAACCTTCCTAAGTGCTTCAATACAATTGAGGTTAACTATCCGTATGTATTATTATTATTATCGAGTAATGTTTTGATTAAAAAAATTAACCACATTGTTTAATCAAAACATGTAATTTTTCTGATTTTATCTAGCAAATATAAGGAAAAGAGACAAAAAACAATTGATGAATCAGTGTAACTGCACTAAATTGAATACAAAAAAAGAGTTTTCATCTTATCGCTGTGAAACATCAAAAACTGGAGGTGGAACAAAGCCAAACTATTTTTAATATTGCCAAAGAAGTATAACTTCTTACGCGCGTACATAAGTACACGGACCCTTTTTTTTATGTGCTAATACACGCTTTTGGCACATTTTTCTAGACGTCATTCCGGATCCAATGAGCTATCGCACATAATTTTAAGAGCAGTATCTCTAATTTGTACCATTTTCAACTTGTCGACTAGACTAGTATGGAAGCGAGTAAAAGCTAGACAATAATAAAAACCGCAAGACAAAATAAGAAGAATCACGTAAGTTTTTTAATAATATTTTTCCTGAATGATGCCAGTACAGGCATTTGTCGACCCGGCTTTTCTTGTGATTTTAACCATCGTTATATCAATATATACATTACTAATAGTATCTACTTATGTTGCAGTCTGAGGACTAGTGAAACTGCTTACCTTCGGGAAGCATTTGCGTTTTACCAGGCCATCAGAGCGAGGCGATACTACACACATGCAGTTAAAGAAGATAAGTGTGAACTTATGGTGAAAAAGCTACGATATTATGCACGATTTATTGTTGTATCGTTATTACTGAATAAATTAAAACTTGTTGATGATCTTATAAGAGAACTAGACAATCAAATAATAGAATATGGAACTACGTATAACGCTGAAGACCAAATGGAATGGACTGTAGTTGTTGATGAAGTTAAAGCTTTCCTTGATGCCGAGCCGGCCGTTCAGGTTATGTACAATGATATGCCGGCACCCGATATGTCTAATAGGTATTTATTATTTAAATTGTACATTGTGACTTGTAGGGAACTACCTTAAAAATTATTATTTTTCTTAAAGAATTACTTATATCATGCTCTAATTAAACGTTATAATTACTAAGTTTTTATTGAGTTCAGCCTTGCGATTCTGTAACTAAGGATAAGGGGGGAGCTTGTAATTTATTGTTTATCAGAATGCCAAATCGTAAAATGACGACAATGATCGAAATGCTTTACGACTGAGTTGAGCGCGACCGCCGCTGTGAAAACCGCTGTGAGAGTTCGAAAAGTGAGTTACAGAATCGCAAGGCTGGATTGATTGCTGAAATAAGTCAAAATAATTAATGATGAAAATGTACATATTTGTAGAATCCATCCCGACCACACGCCATACGTAGACAGAGGACCCCATATGCACTTAACTTTACAAGATGTAATTATAATTGGTAGTAGTACACAACAGGCAAAATTTTCTGAACTCACAATCGATATGTATAGAATTCTTCAGATATTGGAAAAAGAACCAATTGGCCCAGCACCTCAGGCCCTGAGTGAGGATATTCCTCCTCATGGGCCACCACCGGCTCCACATTCTACGCAAAGAGGTCAGAGAACTTAACATTACCTGCGTTTGATTGTTTTTTTCCTTCTTCTTTTCAGTTGATAATGCTTGCTTAATGCGAATACAATTGTTTGCGAAAGAAAAAATGTATTATATAACATTATGGAAAGTGCCGACAAAATATTTATGGCCTGACAATTTCTTTACATTCATGAAAACCGAACAGCTATAATATTCTGACGGTAGCAATGCAGTCTTTGGCGAAATTCTTTATATTTGTCTAAATATTAAAGATAAACTGAAATATATCTTTAATGTTTCCATTTTTCACTATGAAGTTTTTCGTCCCTAAGCGGTGCGGTGCGAAAGTCAAATTTTATACTTCAGGGAAGGACTTTATTATAATGTATGGTAATACTTGTATAGGTTACGTGGTCGGTGACAGCTTTCGTCGAGACAATCCACACAAGTACTTGTTGTTTAAGCCAACCGCACTGCAATGTCTGGTCTACCTAGCGAGCAGTTGCAATGATTTACCATTAAACGGAGCGATTTTATTATACATTTCGGCGGATGGCTATATCCCTTCTCACAGTCGTAACGCTGACAGCATCAGTAAGTTTCAAATTGTGCCATTATTTCAAAAACCATAAATGCAGCTAATAACTTCATCTGACGTTCAAAATCTTTAGAATTTGACTTCAGTAGTAAATTAATATTCTCGTTTTAATTGCAAATGCAGCAATATTATAGGAATTGTAATTTATTTCAGCTGGCTATGAAGCCGGAGGGTTTATTACATCTGGCAAATTGGATCCAAATCGGGATTCAACAAGAGAATCCAGGGGACAATCACAAGATAGAGGGAGCCGGGGAAAGGATCATTATCTGTTGTACCCTGGCGACATTTACCCTTTTACTAGAAGACCTTTGTTTATCATAGTTGAGTCGAATTGTTCTGGGCTCATGCAGAATATGCCACGCCATTTCAATCAGCCACTTGTGATGTTATTGTCAGCTCAAGAACTTCCAGCAAATCTAGCAGGTAAATATTAAGTAATTACTTCTTAACCTTCATAAATCATCTAACTTTCATATTTATCAGCGTAATTAAACAGAACCAGTTTCATAAGTCTCTTATGTGTTCGTACTTGACGTACTAACAAAGTTACAATTGTACAAGTTATGTTTAAGTTTTCATTTGCGTAGAATAGTAGATGTGACAGGTACTCCGTACTGTGTGATCTAGTTCGGCCTTTTCTTGGGCGACCGATGGAGCTTTGACAAATACGTCCATCGTCCATTTAAAAAATACTAATTTATTATATTGTTGTAAAGTAATAATTAAACATTCAGCAAATATGTAATAAACTTAAAAAAACGGTCGAAACTTGTGAAGCTAAAAATAAAGAGTGAGAGATAAAAACCAGTTGAAAATCACAATCTGTTTTAGAACGATGTCATCAAGGTAATCTCCTAACGTTGTTCCTCAACAATCCGTTGATGGGATTCTGTGCATCGTGCGAGCTTTACACAATAGAAGAAGGTCTACTGGACGTTTGCGAGACTTTAGTCCTCGATTTTATGTTCCAGTGTGCACAGTTAATACTCCGAATTCGTATCGGTAAGATTCTAACATTATTATACGGTTTCAGATTTCATTAATAATTTTCTCAATTGAGCAGAGTCTTTGCAAATTGACTTAGACTTTGCTATTATTACTAGAGTTGAATAAGCATATATTTTTAGATCTACGATTATACTACGATTTTGATTTAAATCTTCGGACGTATAACATACGACGTAACTTTTATTTTCATATATCAATTGTTATTTATGTTTAGGTATAAAACAATGAGTTATAAATATAGAATACATATACATTATATATTACATTAATGTCTTTTTGTGTCAGTAAATATTACTCTATCAAGTTAAAGAATTGTATTACAACGATTTCAGATATGAACTTCTTCGCTTTCATGGGTGATGAGTTCCTTCGAACGATAATACTGCGGTACCTCTTCTGTGAATGCTCTCTGCGAATGAATAGAAACTTCCGTTCCCGGTCTCAGATCGTCCATTCAACGCCTCCAATGCCCGAAGAGCTGCTGGCACATTCCTCCCTTGTTTCAATTATTTTGAAAATTTCCGAGCAGCTCGGAGTAAGTACACTGTTGTTTGTGGAACTAAGATTATTTTATTAAGGTCATTAGTCAGTTATGTCCCTTTATAAATGATATATTTGTCTGATTCACAGACGAACTAAATGTGTGTCATTTCTATCTTCTCGTTATGTTACTTATATACAAAGGATAATGCTCGATCGTATACCCCTATTCATACCATTCGTGATGATAGTTTTAAGTGACTGAGAATGTTATAAGTAAAGAACTTAAGTAATAATCAGTGAGCCGATAATTTTTCTAAAACCAGAGGAGATGAATAGAAATATTTGAAAATTATAAAAACAGGCGACGATCACCACTTCCTGAAATGACAATTGAATACAAATAATGACAAAGTCCAAATTAACAATAATATAAATGGATTAAGCTGGGAAATTAATGCATATTAATAAAATGTTACTAAAATGCTCACTTACTTAATTTATAAAGAGTGGGAAGATATACTCGAAGTTAAGTGTTATCACTACGTTTTATTTAAGTAAAAGATTGCAATTACAAATATATTAAAAAATATAAACATTTTACAAGAAATATATTATGAAGGTCCTGGTTTTTATAAAAATTCAATAACATTTAAGTAATAATGCTTCGATTGCAAATGAGTGTTCGAAATAAATCTTAATTTGTGTTTATTGCTTTCTTTTCAGGTGAGGAATCACTTTTCCGATGTTTCTGGACCGGGATCGGGGCCAATCTAGGGATCAGAATTAGGAACCAATTTGTGCTCAATTATAATTTTCCTCTACTATGGATAAGATCTCCGTCAAAAATTTTGCTGTTTATACAAGTATTCAGTTATACAAAGCTAGGATTCATATTGTATATAAATATATTTACTATTTAGTAATTTTAGATTTTAAATCTTTATCCAGTATTACGAATTTAAGATCTTGATGTCAATATCTATATTTATGCCCATCATAATCGGGCTTTATTATATAGCGTTGTAAAAATGGTACAAGTACCAAAAAAAAAAACAAAAAAATCTCACTTTCATCCACTAGAGAAAAAAAACTAAGTGTTATTAGAAAAAAATTGTTGAAACATGATGCAACAATGCTGTTTCAACCATTTATAGTAAGTGCTTAAACGATACATTTCAATATATTAAATTCTTTGCAACGTACAATTTACCAATTCCAATTGTCACTAATCACTAATTTGTAGACCTTCACTTGCAGTTAAGGCATCAAATCTCATTATAGCTTGCATTTAAATATGTATTAGTAAATACTATGTTATCATTATATCATGAATGAAGTGAAATCGAGTGGTCCTGGAAAATTATTGCTTTAGTTGGAAAGAAGAAACAATGTGTTTAGAACTTGTATGTGCTAAATAACAACACAAATACAAAAAGAGTCTCGGTTTCACCTAACAAGATTTGTTCACATTCAGCCAATAGCCTATTTCGCGACTCTAAAATAATCGTAAATTAAGTCAAATCTGTATTAAAGTATAATTACATAAAAATGTACATACTAATACCTAATATTCACATTGGGCTTGTTTCTACCGACCAGTAATTTGTTACAGAGTAAGGCCCTTTCTCAACTGCTCCGGTCCGACGTCGGATACCGGAATGAGTCATGAGAAAAATATCGGAAGGCCGATCCGACAATTATCGAAACTTGTGTATTTATCATGCAACACTTATTAACTAAAACCCATATACTTAATTTTATGAATAAAACGTTCTAAATTCTGAATATTTTATTACCCTGGCTAGTTATTACTTTTTTTATATTGTCTATCTTGAAATATTATAATCTACTTAATAAATAATTCACTAATACAATGGTATAAAAATATAAATAAATTGCAACATAATTTGGTATGGTCCAGGTTATCCAGATTCTTTCAAATTAAAGAAACTATAAATAAACCTGTGAATAATAATTTATAACCTCTTGGATATACTTGGACCGATAAAACACCGCGTTCCGATCTAGCAAGTTATCGGATCGTTAAAAACCGGATGCCGGAGTAGTGGAGAATCACGTAAGTACTGCCTTGCGATTCTGTAACTCACTTTTCGAACTCACACAGCGGTTTTCGCATCGGCGGTCGCTCTGAAATCAGTCGTGAAGCAGTCATTTTATGATTTGGCATTGATTTTGCGAAAACCGCTGTGTGAGTTCGAAATGTGAGTTACAGAATCGCAGGGCTGTTGTGAGTTTCTAATTCGGATCGGTAATTAACGTTTGCCGGACCGGAATGAGTCATGAGAAAAATATCGGAAGGCCGAATTGCGCTTCTCCACTATATCCGATCCGACAATAATCGATACTTGTATATTTATCATGCAACACTTATTAACTAAAACCCATATACTTAATTTTATGAATAAAACGTTCTAAATTCTGAATATTTTATTGCCCTGGCTAGTTATTACTTTTTTTATATTGTCTATCTTGAAATATTATAATCTACTTAATAAATAATTCACTAATACTATGGTATAAAAATATAAATAAATTGCAACATAATTTGGTTTGGTCCAGGTTATCCAGATTCTTTCAAATTAAAGAAACTATAAATAAACCTGTGAATAATAATTTATAACCTCTTGGATATACTTGGACCGATAAAACACCGCGTTCCGATCTAGCAAGTTATCGGATCGTTAAAAACCGGATGCCGGAGTAGTGGAGAATCACGTAAGTACTGCCTTGCGATTCTGTAACTCACTTTTCGAACTCACACAGCGGTTTTCGCATCGGCGGTCGCTCTCAAATCAGTCGTGAAGCAGTCATTTTATGATTTGGCATTGATTTTGCGAAAACCGCTGTGTGAGTTCGAAATGTGAGTTACAGAATCGCAGGGCTGTTGTGAGTTTCTAAATCGGATCGGTAATTAACGTTTGCCGGACCGGAATGAGTCATGAGAAAAATATCGGAAGGCCGAATTGCGCTTCTCCACTACATCCGATCCGACAATAATCGATACTTGTATATTTATCATGCAACACCTATATTAACTAAAACCCTTATACTTTATTTTATTAATAAAACGTTCTAAATTCTGAATATTTTATTGCCCTGGCAAGTTTATTACTTTTTTTATGTTGTCTATCTTAAAATATTATAATCTACTTAATAAATAGTTCACTAATACTATAGAATAAAAATATAAATAAATAACAACATATGTAATTTGGTTAGGTCCAGGTTATCCAGATTCTTTCAAATTAAAGAAACTATGAATACCTGTGAATAATAATTTATAACCTCTTGGATACTTGGATATACTTGGACCGATGAGTTGTGAGTTTCTAAATCGGATCGGTAATTAACGTTTGCCGGACCGGAGCAGTGGAGAAACGGCCTAACAGTTTGAGCTTTAAGAACACAGCGTGCAACACGTTTCTTAACTCATAAACATGAATCTAAAATCTATTTTTTAACGTGTAACAACAAAACAAAATACTGGACGTTGGAATCTGCCCTTGGTGTTATGCAATTAAAAGAGTATATTTTCCTCTATAGTTTAGTAAATTATATTTATAATAAATTCTATATCAGAGTATCATACATTCCTAACAGATATTATATTTACATTGGATATTTAGTAAAATCATGCTTTGCTTATTACAAATCGAAATTTGTACAGGGTATACCAACAAGATGGCAGATGCGTTAAGTGAGGCTTTAGTGAAAGAAAAACTTTTTCAATTCACTATTATTACATTTCATTGGTAAATTGGGACCCGTCTTCTTTTCTCTTACGTAATTGTTTTGATTTATATTGTTTATTAAAATATATTTTAAAACAAAACCTTCAAATAACTTTAATCACAATCAGATCAAGCTTTGTAAAAAGTTATTTAAATTACAATATCTAAGAATTATTCTTGGAAATCTTCAATTTCATAAGTAAAATAGTTAATTACAAACCTAAAGTTATTCTATTGCTAAAGCCTGCATTGTTTGAAGACCACTGCAAAATGTATAAAAGCAAATTATTACTCATTTAAATATTGATATAACTATTTTTTTAGTAATAAACTCATTATTGTGACATTACGAACATTTTTGGTCCAACGTTGGTATTAGAAAGAAACATTCATCCCAACATACTATGTAAGAATGTGGCATGTCGGCACTAAGGGTATTATTTTATTTACAGTCGAAGCATATGGCTCCCGTTAGTAAAAACGTTATGGTTTTGACATACAGAAGTAACAATAACAGTTAAGTCTAGACTCTTTATCTTACCCTACGTACGCAAGCCGGTAGGTTAGTAAGAATATTATAAAGTTTCATTCCTATGTAGTTTTGTGTGTTTGTGTGAGCCATAATTCATGCTTGCGAACGATTGAATTGCAACTTAGCTGCTAATTTGCATCATTACCTAATCTAACTTTAACATGTCAACATCTCTATTGTATTATCTCTCTACGTATATACCATTAACGTGTTAAATTTCTAACTAACAATGTTAATCTTGCTTAAACTTGCTACTTATAACAATTACTATTTTAAGTAGATGGTGTTGTGTATAATGTAAACTGGTTCAGAATTTTAAATAAATAGCAGTTTTTCCTTTCGGTATTGGCGACTTTTTCTTCAACCCACTTCCGAATTACAATTCAACTTACACTCAAGGAATTCTTGGTAACGAAATTGTTTTACTGATGATTTTTCTTCTTAAATATTGTGTTTACATTCACAAGCAAGTTTTTAATTAAATTTTCATTATTATTGATAAATAATATAAAACTATCACGGCACTTCGTTTTCTTGAAGGTCTACAGGTAGGGTCTAGGTACAATCTATTTTAATTATGTTAAATTAAAGTTTTATTAAAAGCATACAATATATATACAATACCTTGAACAAGATTAGAACAAACAAGAGGCAGATAGCGTTTTTATGGATTAGTTATTGTAATTACTAAAGCTACAGCAGTACCCAGAGTCGATGATGTAAGTGTCTCCAATTGTCCAAATAATTATTCTACAACAAGCTACTAATACAAAACAGCTTTGTTTAGCTTGAGGGTTTATAATGAGTTGAGAGAGTATGAGAGATGAACTTAGTTAAACATTCAAAGAAACAATAAACAATATCGGCCATTATTTTGACATCGTAACTATGATAACAAATATTTTGAATATTAACAATTACCAATAAAATTGTGTATTATTATAGAACGTTTAATTAAATTAGTTATACTTCTACTATCAATTTCAATATATAAAAAGAAAATTATTTACGCTAATATCGGAGCCGTATCTCAACCAAACTCTTTGTATATATTTATCTATATTTTAGGAATACAAATAAAATATATATTTAGTATTAATAATGTATATTACATACACAGATGACATAATATTGAGTTTAGTTATTATTACCGTTATTTGTATAGGGCTAACGAAGCAAATGAATTTGTCACGCGTTAGACTGAGCGGCAGTAACTACAGCTTAAAAATGTTTCCAATTCCACAACTACTTCAAGTTTAAGGATCCGGTAAGTTTATTTGCATATAAAACCATACATATGTTATAAGATAAATTAAATAAACATTGACCGCCTTATGTCCAATGATGACGCGAAATTCACAACGAAAATAAATTCATGCTCGTATTTATATTTAGAATGTTGGTCCGGCGCCGATGGGTTCGCCAGTTGAACGCAGATATTGACCGATCACAAATCGTATTTAAACAAAAGTGAAGTGATTTTTAATCAATCAAATTATTTATATAGTATGGTAAGACAAAAAGCTATCAGAGGGACTTCAAACGCGTCAAGGTAAATTCGTGATACTGATCAGAAATAACAGTAACCGAGTGATACACAATTTATTCATACCTATTTTCACACTAACCCACGCAAACACACTATGTTTTAGTAGCAGATACTGTCATTGAAACGAAATGTCGTGTTGTTGGTTGGACAGCGGTTGCTTTGCTGGGTCTGTGTGAAAAAAGGGAATTATTAAAGGAGACTGTGGACGTCATCCGATTCCTTAATTTAAATTTATTCCTCTTACATTTATTTTGATTAAACATATGGAATTGTCACCAGATGAAGAAAAAAATATCCCACCGGTGCCAATAAAAACATATCAGTGGGAAGATTTGAGAAGAGCTCGAGAGGCTGGAGGTTATCCTTGGACACATTTACTTAAAGTACCTCTTCAGGGGCAAATAACAGCAGAGGATATCATCAGATCAACAACGCCCAGACAAAGTATGTCTCGTGAATTTTCGAGGTCACGAACTCACTCCCCGGTAGTTGGGGATGTACAAAAGATTTTAAATTTAGATTCATCTCCTGGAAGTAGCCGTAAACACGATGACGATGGAAGAGATGAAGGTGTTCATATACCGAACTTCTCTAAAGAGATATCTTTAGATTCTGAAGATGATTTTTTAAATAAAAACACAGTATCAAAATCGTCCATAAATCTCGTTACTCCAATAGAAATCCCAAAAAATATTTCTCCCAAAAGTATTTTAAAACGTCGGGCACCAGAACCACAATATATTGGAGTTACGGAAACGCGCGAAAAAACCAAATGTTGTCATCCTCTTGTGAATAAAATAAAACATTTAGCTGATAAAACGCTACAAAAATTAGATAAGATCGAAAGTGAAAAATCTCCACTATCAAAGCGAAAGAAAAATGAAGAATCCCAAGAAATAAGGCAGTTAAAAAACTCACCCAGTGCCGTACGTCGACAAAAATTTAGTGCAATAAAGTTAGGGGACTCGGATGAAGTAAGTAAAACAATCTGCATAGACACACCCCCACCCAGAAAGAGAAAAGAACATATTTATGAGGATATAGATGATGCAAAAGGAATATCTTTTGAAAATCTTCAAAATATATCCCAAGATAAGGTAGGAGAATTACAAAAAGATAACGATATTCATGTCGAAAAGAGATCTACTAAATCCTACGACCCAAGTTTAGTCGCTGAAGATACATCGTCTTTAAAGGAAGAAGAACATGTTATGGAAATATTACATAAAAATATTGACCAGACTCATAACGGAGTTATAACAGAGGATGATCATGATGTAGCTGAAGATGCAGTTCATCAAGCAACACCCAACACTTATAATACCTCTCACAACATTACAATTACTGAAATCACTGATGATGAATCTACGAGTAATATGGAACAATCTTCAACGGTACCTATTGAAGTATCACCTAGTCCAAGTCCCAGAGAAATACAACGAAAACGGAAGGAAGAATTTCAAGATAACGATTGGTCTAAACCAAGCAGGTAAATATGATGTTTTCGTTTATATCTAATAATGATTAGTGAATTTCGAAACAAAATTGAGTTTTTTTAATACATATCTTCAATATTAAATGGTGTATGACATAACGTAATTTTAACACATACAAAACCAACGCTAGCTGTACGTCTGATAAATATAGCTCAGTCTAAAATGTCTTCCTGCATAGTAGGTAAGCTCTTTAGAATTGTCATCGACGATCAGTGCCCGCAGTTGCTTTCACTCCCGTGATTAGTTCATTTACAACCCTGCTTTCACAAACACGCTGTACGTTATGTATTGTCTTATGTGATAGTATTAAGCCGTTCGAATCGTAAAAAAGAAGATTTTCAAAAATGGATGAGGTGAAATAGGAATATCTTTTGTACGTCAGTAATGAGTAATTTGCGTCGGTGGACATCGGAAGGTGGTACCCCTTTAGAAAAACCCCTAAGACCAACAAGAGAAAGCAGTGTCCAGCTATATACACCTGAAGTGCGCTGCGCTTGCCAATTTTTTCAATCAGTTTCGCTTTTACCGGAACGAGTAAATCCAGTGGGCACTCGACCAACGTCGCGGGCGAGTAATTTTATTTCAAATCTAAGGTAAGTCCACCTACATTCATGCAATATTATATTTATGACGGTAATAACGACCTGCAAAATAAATTCTGAAATATATAAATGAATATTGCCGGTGACTGCTGCGTCTAAAACGAGCGTCCCGGTTGTCCTAATTATGAGGCGTGAAGCGTGTTTGTGTGCGTGCGGTTTTAAATATAATTTTACAAGACAGACTTCTTAAATTATGCGACTTTTTGACAATCTTAGCCGGCTTGGCGAATGTTTATGTGATATTTTATGCGAATATTAATTATACTGTTAATGTATTTTTACTATGACAAATGAAATAAAGTAACATTACATTTATTTTCAAACATTAACTCTTTTTTCAGCGATCACGAATATGAAATCATCGAAAAGCCATCCCCAAATATTACTTACACGGCCCCAAGCGTAGATGACACACCCAAAATGGTAAAAACCGAAGACGAATTGTCAAGTATTTCTTCTTTAGAACGCAAATATTTACAAAATCAATCTGATGAAGAAGAAATTGAAAGCAAAGAAAGTATAAATGAAGATAAAAAAGATAGTGCGATGAGTGCAGAAGCTTTACAAAAAGATATTGAAGAACGTTTTTTCGTTAATACGCCTTCGACAGTATCAAGAACTGAATGTGAAATTAGTACCAGCCAGGTTGACTCGTCTGCGTTGGAAAATTTACCATTAAAAAGAGACAGCCGTACAAAAAATGGAGAGAGCATTGACAGTAAAATACAACAACGATTAAAGGAGGGAACAGGAAAATTAAAATCTCAAGCTGGAAAACTAAGAACAAAAATTAATAATATGAAGATGCCTGATCGACCTAAATTTAAAATGCCAGAAAGACCCAAATTTTCATTTCCCGATAAAAGTAAATTTAGCCTACCAGAGAGATCTAAAATTAAGAGCTTCAATATAAAAGAAAGGTTTTCCTTGGGAGAACGAAGAAAGTTTTCTTTGCCTGACAGGCCAAAATTTAATGTTCCCGAGTTTCCGAAGTTTAAAATGCCGGAAAGACTTCTAACTAACTTCCAGAGTTTAGGAAGGAAAAAAGAGTATAAAGTAGATGATAACACTGAATCTACTTCCGACTTACAAAACACAGCCACCGTAGACTTCGAAGTAAAAACATATCCAAGACTATTTTCAAAAAAAAATAAAACTCCTCTAGCTAAAACATCGTCTTCTCCCACTTTAAATAGAGAAGATACACCACCTCCCACTTTTACCTTTACTCGTATGAAAAAGCCGATGGAAAAAACAGCTTATGATCCTGTTAGGTCAGAAGAACCACGAGAATACGGTAGTCTCGATAACAAAGACGGTGATTTTACTTCTGATACCGTAGAAAAAAAACAATTTGAAACGATGTATGATTTTGATAGAATGCCCTCATATGACTACGAAGAGGATGAACAAGAATTCCAGAAAACTGAAAATTCACACCCAGTTTCACAATTGATGCCAAATCAAGAATTCACGCACATAAACGAAATAAATAATGACGAATTTTTCGTTCGACCGAGAGGAATATCTCGAGAAAATATACAAGTAAGGGAGTACTTGAGCGATGAAATACGACAAGCGTTTCAGACACCGAAAAATGTTTTGGTCACTATGGGAACGGATTCTAGAGATGACGGGCACATGTATGCCAACGACTTAGATGTAGATAATGATATAATCGACGATGAAAATATCAAATACTCAACGGAAGATCTTAATGAAAGGGATGACGGATATTACACATTCCCACCCGTTAGACCATCTAGAGCAAAACGAAAGAAGAAAGAAACTGATTCGATAAAATATATTGACGATAGCGTAAATGCCAGTATGCAGTTTAGTGACGTAGATTTGGGAATTTCTGACGAACAACTTGATGATCAACCTATGAATGATAACTTACAAGGTCATACCAATCAGGAATTCTCAGACTTCCCTCCTCCAACTGATTTACGTTCCATTCACGAATATGCAAATGACGAAATTATCGAATATCCTGATCAATTAGTTCAATCACAAACACTTCCTATGCCACCAAAACGGAAAAAGAAGTTTGGAAAACAAGACACAAATTCCTCTTTGGCAACCTTCGATAGTTTGATACTTCCGGAAAATTTTGAGAAACCTCAGGATCGCAGCGAAGATGTAAGTATTTTTAATTTTATTTTATTAAAGTTTAAAGCCAATCCGTAGAAAAAACCCACAGATGAACAGATGTGGTTGTGTTGTCTCATGTCAATGTAGATATATATATAAATAATATTATAAATTTAAACCAATATACCTTTATACGTGATACAAAAGCATAATGTTTATATAGGGTACCTATATGTATAATATAATATCACAAAAATAAAATTTTAAGTTTTATAGCTATGTATAGGTAGTATTCTCCTAATATACTTTCCTAAAGATTATTGAATTGTTATTTTAATGTTAAATAATAATTGTTATTTTAAAATAATGTTATTTTAGTTATAATATAACATTGGATAGGTCAACCAAATTTTAATAAAGCAAGGTCGGCGGTAAATCTCTTGACTTTCAAGATTTTTGATGAATTAAATATGAACTCTGGATATTTGTAAAAAGACTGAGATTGTATAGTCCAAACTTCAAATGAGATTCAACCGAGCGCATTGGCACAAATCCAGATACATATACTTTTGGATGTAATGCGAATTTATTTTCGTTGTTGGCCGTTAGCGATTGTTGACCTAGTTAAATAACTTCTTATGATCCAGTGTTCCACCTCAACAATAAGTTTCTAAAGTATATCTATCTGATGATAAGATAAAAAGTAGCCTTGAAACCATATTGCTACCGGCTGAATAAAGCTGATGATTATTATGGTCAATTAATTTTTAATCAGCTATTTTTACTTACATAGAAGGCTTTGAATGAAGGTTGTACTCCCAAACCGTTATATTCCGTGCCCATACAATCCCTTATTTTTATTTCATAAATGTCGACAACGAAGCATAAGTATTAATTATAATGTTTTCGTGTACAAAAAAAAATCGTTGAATTACTTTTAACTTTTACTTAATCGTTGAAATAGTTCATAAAGTTAAAATTCACTTAGTACTTACTACGTATTAACATACGTAGTAAGTACACATGTTAATGTGTACTTGTAGAGGTAAAATAATGATAATCCTACATTTTGCCGTAAGATGACAATTTTTATTTTTTTTCAGATAATCGTGTATCGAACTGAACACGAATACACTGTTCCTCAAGCTGAATCAGCTATAGATCCAAGTCCTGCGCCACCAAAACGAACCCGTTCGAGAAGTTCTCGTGAACCATCTCTGTATGACGATGATCGAACTTCGAGAGGGGCAGATTCTCTAATACTTGACACAAATCTACCACCCGCCAGTGGCATTGATGGGAGATCAGAAAGTTGTCATGAAAGTCCAGGATATGCTACTGTTGATAAAGGGGGTACTCAACAAATTAAAACGGCTAGAAGATCTAAAAGCAAAACACCACCACGACGCAGGAAAAGTAATAGTTCTGAAAGAAAGTATTACACTGTGGGCAGTAGTAAAACTGTTGTTCCAAGTAGACCGCCTAGGAAAAAATCATCTATAAGTCTTACGACATTAGATAGCTTCGCTCGAAGATCTATAAGTGGTGACTTTACGCAATATGATGAGATAGATGAACCGCAGGTTGAGGACGTACATAAGGACTTAAAATCAGGAGAAATTTTAAATAAAATGAAAGATAGACCGTTGCCCCCTCCACCTCGCCCACCCAGGGGACCAAGAAAAAAGAAAAACTCATCAGTGGATGGACTGAATGAACTAGATAAAATAATGAATATAGAGAGCCCACTGACAAAGTCTCCTTCCCCCTACTTATCCAGTGAACTCCATCAAAGTGATATAGTAGAAATAGAAGTCTCTACACAAACAGACCCTCTTCCAGATGATGTTGATTTTGACATAGAAGAAAACTTGAATATGTCCATGTCTAGTTCCTTAAGGGATCTCGTAAATGAAGATTCCATGCTTGGTAAATTATCAGATAAAACAGGTTCTCGGCCTACGTCAAGATCTGAAAAATCATTAAAACTGTCTGACCCAAAAATATCTGGCCTCGGACGTTCATCGCCCACTGTAATTTTAGTTGAAAAACGTGTATCAAGTCCAACTAGAATAAACGAAAGAGACGAAATGTTAACCGAAGCATCATTAACTGTTCAACCTATAGATGTTGATCAAAGAGAATATCCTGAAGTACCACCCTTACCAAAATCAAGAAAATCTTCTGCACCTAAGCCTTCAGCTGCTACATTAAGTGACCGTACCCTTGAAAGAATTTCTGTTGAGACAAGTCGTGATGTTCAATTAGATAACTTGGTTACACAAAGATTGCAAGTGAGAGATCTAGATGTCGGTAGATTAAACGTCTCTGAATTACAAGCTACTAAAATCCTTGTATCAGATATTGAAGGTATGACACTTCAGGTTAATGAACTAGATTCGAAATCAGGCCATATATCAGTAAGTGGCATAGAATTCTCGCAATCCGTTATTGATGAAATTGCTAAGAAGTTTGCAGAAATGACTGCAGTTAATTCAAATCAAGCATTTACTCAAGCACAGCCAAGTGTGGCACAGATACCTTCAACTCCTAAGGCCGAAAACAAAGAAGAGGAGACGCAAACAGAGGCATCTCAAGAAGAAAGGAAAAAGGAAAGTAACATTGTTGAAAATATTGATGATGATTCTCTGTCTGCAACATTTGCACCTCCCCTTAATATCGAAGAGAATATACCACCTCAAAGACCCCCGCCTCCTGATCTTACTCCACTTTTATATTCATATTTACAAGACCTTGCGTCCCCACCCCCTCAAATTTTTTTTCCTCGAAACCTACCACCTACAAATTTGCCAGAGGCCCTCCACACAACACCAGCCCCACCTTTACGGCGATCAAAACGTAAGCCCGCCGGAGCTCTAAGCGAATCTAGTTCTGATGATACAAGACCTAGACCTTCGCCTCGAAGAATGCCTGTTCCGGTCAGGTCTCAGGAGCCAACTATCACCGAGGCAGGTGCCCAATTCTTAAGAGTGTGCCATAATTCTATTACTCGTGCTGTAAGGAATTTATATACTTCCTTTATGAACTACGTCCATGGTGCGCAAGATAAAAGAGATGTCCAAATGGCTATGGTTATATGTTTAGTGCTAGTCGCAGGTTTGATCATGTTTGGCTTAAGCGATAGTAGGGCTGTACACCATCACCATTGGGAGTTTTTCAACCCTCCAGACATACCCCAATAATTAAACAAATATTTCAAGTGTGTTTTGAATTGATTAAATTAAGCCAAAAAACCGAAAGTAAACAAGCATTTCTGCCAAACTTTCCATACGACTTAACTTAGTAATATTAAATAGGTAGCGTTAAGATCAAGAAGTCCTTATTGACTCGATCTTCGGGATTATGTATTAATATTGTGTAGACTTGTCATTATAAAAGTAGAATTAATTATCCTTTAACAATCATCAATCAGTAATATATTTGTGTCGCTCTTGTATTCCTAAAATGTTGTATTTTGTTGATTATTTAATAAACATAATTATGTACGAAGTTTTCAAATAAATGAAAAACCAAGTTATTTTAACGTTGAAATAAAGTAAAAGATAAAAAAAAGGGGTTAAACTTTTAACAATATGAAATGTTATTTAGTTTTATATTATTGAAATTATAACAACCACATAATATTCTTTGTGTGGTTTCAGATGTTATGCATTTTGTTTTTGTTGTGTAATAAAGTAAAATTGACAAATAAATATTTTTTGTGCCGAATATAGCTTCTTAGTAAAATGCTGGTTTACCTGCCATCTATCGGGTGCTATTGTGAATCTGAAACATATCTGCGGGCTCGACTAATTTAAATATTTATGAAAGGAGTTTGATATTATATTACATATAAAGTCAATAATATAATGAAACATCATAAGATTTACTTGGGTTTGCTATTTTTGTATCGTTAATACTTATTTTTTGTTTAATCAAATATATTGTAACGTATATTTATAAATAGTAAGGTAAACAAAATAGTTGTAAAACCGCCATCTAGGAGCGAATAAAGAAAGTACTGTAACTTGACACCACTATGCTTGTAATATTAATGTTGTTGCTAAACTGAAGATGGAGCTTCTTACTAATAATAATAATACATTCAACATTGCAATAGCTTTCACTTTTAACATTTTATATGTTTATAACAATATAATTCAAATACATAAATTCTCCTGAATATGTAAATTAAATATAAAATATATAATTAATACATTAATAATAATGAAATGTGCAATATACTTAGCCAACAACAGATTGAAATAGTAAAATGAAGTAATAAAATATAATGAAACATTAAGTGCATATTAAATAAATAAATGTGAAAAATATTGAAGTAAAATCAATCTATAACTAAAGACAGTTAAATTTAGTTTCATCCAGTTTCAGTATCTGTTAAGCTTTTATTGATGTGGTATAAGGGGCAAGACAATATTGTTAACTAGATGATCTGCATTTAGTGGCGATTATGTTAAGATTTGAACTCCCAGGTAAGATTTTCATATACAATATTTTAACCATTGAAGGCAATGCAAGCAGATTTTGTTGCTCTTTTCTTTAATATTAATATTTTCATATTAATATTATATGTCAAATAAAATTTTTGTATTAGTATATTTTGGAGTAGGCTTAAAATATTTTAAAAACCTAAGTAAATCAAGTAAAATGAAAAAAAAAGTAATTACTTTAAACTAAGACATGTTATCTTGAAGTAATAGGTAAAATTGATTTCAAATTATTATACTCTTACATAGCTGAACAAACTGTTGAATAATTATAAAGATAGTAAATAACTTTTTTAGTTTATAAATTCTGATTCAGAACATTTACTTTATTAATTGCTGTTGTCAAGCTTAATGTGACTGTTAGAATTAATTTATTAGATTTGTACATAAAAATTAATTGACTCGAAAAAAAATTATATCAAAGTGACAATGTGCTTTGATATAAATATACAGAGACTATACTTTTTATATATACAGAGAAAATTTAGAATCATAGCTCGAAAGCATCATGCCAGCAGGTATCAGCTACCAACACTCTTCTTCAAGGTAACATCACTTAGCAAATTCCCATGCTTGTTCTTAGTTTCTCCAGCAGGGGCCCAGGCAGTTGCTTTGTAAGGATAGCTGCTTTGAAAGGATATCTGCTTCCATTTTCGTGTACATAGGTACTTTATTTCTTTTACACACTGCTGAATCAAATCTCGGATCTATTGAAGCTTTAAGTTGATTCATTTTGATTTTGACTTTACCATATTGCCATATTTATGCAATCAATGTTTACATTTAAGTCTTTTAACAATGATTTTAAATTAATGGCTTCCTTTGCCGCTTCAGTATGTGCAACATATTCAGCCTACACTGTTTAAAGTGCATTGTTTCTTAGCTTATTGTTGATCCAGCGTAATTAATTCCATTGTTAAGGTCTAAAGCAGTTACTAGTTACAGGCAAAATTATCTAAATGTTGTTACTTTCGGTACCATTAACATGTTCATGTTGTGTTATGAATCTAATTAACAAATGTTTATGTTAGTCATCATAGTTGTTAGTGAACCTCCGATATATATATATTATATGCCATATATTTAAAAACTGTTAATTAAATCAGGAAAATGTCTATTTTATAATAAACATTATAATATTTGATAAAAATTAAGTTAATTTTGAACATTTAATGGTAAAATATAATAGGTATAATATAAAATAACTTCACACTTGACACTTGACAGTTAACAACTGACATAAAAGGAAATAATTTATGTGACCATTCGTATGATTTCTGCAAGCTTGTGGACAAATAAAGAAATGGTAAATTGAATCTCAACAATAAAAGAGGAAAAGACAAAAAGTAGTATTAATTAAAAATATGAAATACAGAAAAAACATTATTTATTACTATACTTAATGATAGTATCATCGTAAATATGTCATAAATATGTATTGATATAATGAGAATGATAATCTAAATTGAATAACTGTAATAATATTTAATTAACCAAAATGGTACATCCATTTCTATTTATGCACTTATGTTATCTAAGAGGTACTTCATTGATCCCTTTACTAAAAAACAATTGGGCCGGGAATCAATAAAATCTTTGAAGGTGATTTCCCATCTGACTGATCCATCAGAGTTGAATTTTTACCTTGCAAGAAGTTGTCCAAATTTCGAAAAAATTGGTAATCTGTTGGAGCAAGGTCCGGGGAGTACGGAGGATGTCTTAGACATTCCAATTGAAGCTCTTCTAATTTGGTAGGCGTCTGTTGTGCAGTGTGTGGTCTAGCGAAGTAGCAGTGGCGTGGAGCGATTGACCAGCCTAGGTTGTTTAGCCGCTAGCTTTTCCATCATGGTTTGCAATTGCTGACAATAGACATCAGTTGTAATAGTCTGGCCAGATTAGAGAAAACTGCAATTAACAATACCGGCACTAGTCCACCAAACGCGTACAAGTAACTTTTTTGGGGTTAATTTTCGCTTGGGGCAGGATTTGGCTGGCTGGCCAGGATCCAACCATTGCGCTAAGCGCTTACGATTATCGTAAAGAATCCATTTTTCATCACAGGTAATGATTCGGTTTAAAATACCTTCATTATTGTGCTGGTTCAGTAATGTAACGCAGCAGTCGACGCCCGTTTGCCGGTTTGCTTCAGTCAATTCGTGAGGTACCCATCTTTCAAGCTTTTTAATCTTCCCAATTTGCTTCAAGTGAATTAAAACAGTTTTATCACTAACACAGCAGCCTGCAGCTAACTAGTAGTTTGCGATGGATCCACTTCCATAATAGCCTTCAATACTTCATTATCAACTTGGGTCTCAGGCCGTCCTCGGGGCTTGTTCTGCAGGTCGAAATTTCCAGAACGAAAACGTTGGAACCAAAAACGGACTGTGTTTTCTTTTGCAACATGACCGCCATACACATCATTCACCCTTCGAGTCGTTTCCGCAGCACTAGTGCCACGGCGGAACTCGTACTCGTAAATAATGCGATACTTTAAGTTTTCCATCTTGTAAAATGAGTGACGCAAACAGAAAAAAACAGAAGAAAAAACAAATGAATGACGGTCATCGAAGCACAAATACATGAGTAAATAGCTGTACAAATTTGAATTTGGAATTCCGTACCAAAGAGGAGAACATCGTGATTAAAGTGGCCAGTACGAAATACGCCAATTTCATATGTAAGGACCTAATATAAGGGCGTAATACTATCAATGTATTTTTTTCTATAGGAAAATAATAAATACTGTATAATCTAGGTTCATAGACGTTGAGGTATTTCATTTAGCACTGTAGTACTTCTAAAAAACAACTATAAAAAAAGCATGTATTTTAAAGCTATTCCTGCTGAGACGCATACAAATAAAATATAAGCAGTCTCAGTCAGGCTACAGATTTTTTTTATATATTCATACAGCCGCTTGTATCCGCTAAAAATAAAAAGTAACCTCTTCAACTAAGATAAAATGTAACAAAAATTTAAAAAGTCCACTATAATTTAATGGCTTTAGGTGGGGTGTGTAAGTTTCCATGGTAAAGAAAAATATCGTCGAGAAAGCAGTATGTCTTAGATCTGAAGTAGCTACCAAGCCTACCATTCCTATATCCCTTTGTTAGGAGACTTTAATAATAATAATAATCTTTATTCATTTCTCACAAAAACTTACTACATAAACAAGTGACTGTTATATACTATTATACATTAAAAAAAATGTGTGCGTGTATTAGGTGTACACATGTAAAAAGTGAAACTTCTTTATGACCTTATTAGAAACTATTTCTTTAAGCACAGTAAATTTTGATACACTGCCTAGCATACAATTTACAAATTAATTGCTGCAAATTGCGATTAGCAAATTTCAAGTCGAAAATGTAATCCGTTGTCAAACTTCTAAGTCAAAAACATACTATATATCATATTTTAACGCCGATAAAGAAGTTTGACTTCAAAAAGCAACATGGCGCGTAACGGAAAAATGTGACGCGTAACGCAAAAATGTGACGCGTAACGCAAAAATGTTACCCTAAATTTTTTTCCAACGCCGATAAAGAAGTTTCACTTCAATAATTGTCTTACTTCTGTTTAGTCTGTTTGTCTTACTTGAATGAAACAGCTTGGCTAATATTTATTCATTAGAAAAAAATAAAATAAAACAATAGAATATTTTAAAATATTTAGTTTGGAGTATTAACAATTAT